AAAATTTAATCATGTATATTTATGTATGTACATAGTTATATAATATACAATTACTTATAGTTATTTATAATTTAATTTATAATCAATTTATTTAATTCTGTAATATAGTCTGACTCATATACATATGTATGTAAATACACACATACACATATATATATACTTGAAGATAACTTAAAAATCAACTCCTGGGTCCTCCCTGGTGGTGCAACGGGTTAAAGAACAGCACTGTGAACCTGGCTGCAGCCACCTCAGCACGAGTTCAACCCCTGCCAGGGAGGTGACCCACATGGCACAGCAGACCTTTCCTGACCTGCCCACTGCTCCCCTCAGCAGTGTACTTCGTCAGCCAGCCTGTTCTGCTCCCCACTCTGTCTCTGCTGAAGCCTCTCACCGCCCCTGCGCCTCTGGCGTGTACCCCAGCTCTGCATGCATAAATAAATAAATCTTAAAAAAAAAAAAAAAGTCAATTCCTGGCCCTGAACCCAGCCTGGCTGGAGAAAGTTCTCTCTGGGCTGGCTGTTTGGTGATTAAATAAGCGGAATGAGAAATATCCAGCCCACGCGTCTTAGCACGAATTCCTACCGCCTTTTCTCACGGGCATCACCAGCATAGCCGGGCTCATTCTGCATCATGTTGTTTAGGGAGTAAAAATAAACAGCTCCGGCAAGCCCTGAGATCCCTCTGGCTCTCATGCCCCAGGACCCACGACATCCAGTTTTCTAAATGAAGTGGAGAGACCGGTTAGTCAATAGCCGTGGGTCCAGGAGGGCAGGTGGGGGGCGGGGACCCCGCCACCGCTCACCTCCGCTGTGCCTCCCTTATGGGAAAGCCATGGGCACACTGCTAGCCTCAAGGCGCCCCAGCCTGCTACCTCCACCTTACTCACACACTGCTCCCCCACCCTAGGTCTGGCCTGTCCCCTTGCCTTCGAAGTCCTCTGGAAGCCCTGTCCATTGTGCATGTCCAACGCACCAGCCATCACCCCTCAACTGGCCAGTGCAACCTCCTAACTCAGTAAGGAATTACTGTTGAGGTTTGGGTGGATAATGGTGTTAGCATGTTGTTTAAGCATTTATCTTTTACACATACATTCTGAAGTGTTTTCTGATAAAATGATAACTTTTAAGTTTCCTGCAAATTATTCCAACCAAATAGCAGGAATTCAACAAAGTCAGAATGGCAAAGTGCTGATAACTACTGAGGCTGGGGCTGGACGCCTAGGCCTCCTTGAACTTCTGTCAGATCAGAAGCTCTCCATGACCAGGACATTTATTTGGGTCTCCCCAGTAGATGGTCACTTTCCTTGAAACTCACACTGGTTCATCCCTTGATCCCCCACTTCTAACCCAGACCTGGGACAGAACAGGTGCCAAGGAAGTATTTGCCCAACAAGTGTTCTGTAGCAATTTCTTCTGTGATGGCCACAGTCTGCTGACACTGACCACAACAGGGACCTAGTGAAGGGCTACACGGCCAGCATAGCCTGGAAACATTTTTCAGGGATGTGCATGAAGCAAGCACATGACTCTGGGCGATTTTCTCCCAGCTTGAAAGCTTCAGCTGGAGAACACTGACTAGAGGCTGAGGAGGAGAGGCCAGGAGAACTCTTGTGTGCTGTTCTAGAAAAAGGAAACTGAAGCCAGGCCCAGGGAAATGGGGCTGGCACTGAAGCATGGAAGCCCCGCTGCCAGCCGAGAGACCTAGAACCCTGAGGGGAAGGAAGCAGTCAGTCCTGGTGACATCCCAACCTTGCTTCTGACTCACTGTGCAATTCTGGCCACACCATGCCTCTGCAGGGCCTCAGTTTACCCCTGGTGCAATGAAGGACTTGGAGGCCCATTTTCTTTCCCGGCTCAGATGCCAGAGGTCCCTGGCCCCGGGCCGGCACCTACCACATGGTGTGATGATCCGAGAAGATGTCTTCGGGCTGGAAGATCTCGCCGTCATAGTAACAGGGGCACTGTGCCTTGGGTACACAGTCCCCCCTCTCATCCAGGTAGAGCCCTGGGGGGCAGAAGCAGCCCTCCAGGCAGACGTCGTCATTGCAGTCCTCATCCGGGAAAGAGAGGGAGCGGCAGGTCATATTGCAGGGGGTCCCGCACTGCAGGTACACCTGGCCCTCAGGGCAGCTTAGCGCTGGTTGAGGGAGAAAGGGAGATCCCGTTCAGGGGAAAGGACCACCAACCTAGGACTTAAGGCACTACCCCCTGCCGCTGTGAGCACCCCCTAGTCCTGCCCCTTTTTCCCCACTATGAGCAGAAGTACTTCAATGCCCACAAATGTCTCCCATACACGTTCCTTCCTGTGCTGAACCAAAGCAATCGTGCTTAGTCCCTAAATGCTCAAAGCCCAAGACAGGTAGAAACGACAGCATGGGTGGAAACTATGAATATCAAAAACACCCGAAGGGCAGGGCAGGGATCTCTCCCATGATGGCCAGGAAGAATGGCTTCCCCTCGCTGAGCACCCACCCAGTGCCGCTTTTCATAGGTTTCAAGCCCTTCCCACCTCTCTCCTTGAGCTCTTTCTTATTATTCCCTTTCTACAAGCAAAATGCTTATGATGAGAGACTTTCCAGGTCAGACCTCCTACAAAGAAAGGAAGGCAGCATCGGAACTCAGCTCCCCGTGACCCAAAGGTCACCATTGTGCTCTAAAAAGGGATCAGTCCCACAGAAACCCTGCGTTCGAGGACACGCCAGTCACAGTGGGGGGGGGGGGAGGGCCACTGGGGGGGGCAGACCCCTCTGCCCAGGGCCTCGCTCTTCCTGCCCTCGCCATAGAAAGGCTCAGCCAGGAGAAGCAGGGCCAAGTGGCCGAGCCACTGAGGGAAAGAGCTCTCCCTCCCATACCCTCGGGGTCCACCCTATTTAGCTCTGTGGGCTTGAGCAGGTCCCTGGCTGAAGTATAAGAACAATCACAGCGCAGTTATGAACTGAGGGTGCTCTCGGATGTTCGGAGGACCCCTGGGGACACAGCCCCCAGGCAGCGAGGCGTGAGGAGCACTTTACCCTTTCAAAATGCTTCCTGAGATCGACCAGCTGTTGTCCAAGAAATGAGAACCTCACTCTGGGGATAGGCCTCCTGGGGCCATCAGGATCCTTGCCCCTGTGCATTCTAAAAGCCATTTCTATTGCAGGAAGCACAGCCAGAGCATTTCAAAAGACTAACAATTTAGTTAGTCAGCACTGGCACGGGCCTCAGCAATGGGAGAGACACCCCCTCTTATAACTGCTCTGGGCTTGGTATCTGGGGGGCACAGGGGAGCACAGGTTTCCAGAGCCATGTTAGGCATGGACTTCTGTCTGAGCCAGCAGAACTTGGGCCAGTGGGATGAGTTTTAGATGGGGCCTTGGACAGTGGAGATGGAGATCGTCTCCATCCACTGCATCTACAATAAGGGCACACCTCACCCGGGGCTGAGGGCTCTGTGCCTCCCACAGACTAACTGCTGTTGGCTGGCAGCCAGGACCCGTGTACCCCGGGCCTTGCTCCCCAGAAGAACGAATACACGTTATGTGCCCACTGGGAGTCAAGGCTGTGCCGGACTCAGGATGCAGAGAGTGAGATTTGATCCCCGCCTTCAAGAAGCCCCTGTTCTTGTCTTCCCAATTAATTCATTCATCATCAATTTTTCTTTTTAAGTTTTGGACTTCTCCCAAATCGCCCATAGCCTCTTGCAAACGAACCACACGATTTTCCCTTGCTCCGTGAGTGTCCCTGACTCTCCCTGTGTGACCTCAACTTCCAGATGGAGCAAGTGGTTTGGGAAGTTTGGCTCATTTCGCAGAAGGCGAATGAGGCACAGGTCAAGGAGAAGCCTCTAGCTGAGCTCACGTCCAGGTTGGAAGACAGAGGCAGGAGCAACCCAGAGCCTTCGGGCCGGCCGCCTCCCTGCCGCGCCACGCAGGCCACAGGGACCAACGGCACTGGTCCGTCAGAGGCCCCATGAAGCCTCTGATACCAAACCCTGTTCTAGCCTCACTTACGCCTCATCACGTCCCTCAGTTTCCACGCAGCAAACCCAGGTGAGGAAACTGAAGTGTGAAGAGCTGAGGTGAAAGGCTCAGGTCACACAGCTGGGAGGTCATAGGCATGTGCCAGGGGTGCCCACAGCTTCTCAGCCACCCCAGAAAGCTCAGTCACAGTCCTTCGGGATGCTGGCCAGAGCCTGGGGGCTCAGCTCCAGAGGTTTCGGGAGCCACAGCCATGCATCTCGTGCTTGCTCTGGGCCATCTTAATGCTGCCTCTGCTCCTCTCTTACAGGTGACTTAGACTCCAGACACGAGTTGGCTCATGGCTCCCCATGGGGAGACACTTCTTGAGGCCCCGCTGCCTAAACTTCTTTTCAGATATGTGACATAAGTGCTTTCACCATTCCTCATAGCTCCTATTTTCCATTTAGGGACCAAATATATAACTTCACCCTAAAAATCAAGATCCAGAAGGGAGGGAAATGCATGGGACTAGGGTGGTGGCACAGGGATGATCTGGTGATGGGAAACCCGCGGGGATTACAATCGAGATGGAAAAAAAAATGTGCAAAATGATGTGAAAATAAACTTTGTAATAAAAAAAAAAATCAAGATCCACTATGTATCCTCCCAAATGCCCACCTCACTTCTATGTATCACTACTCCTCCTCCACAGAGGAGAAACACGGCTTCTCTGCCAACAGAGCACCTTTAAGACCCTGGTCCAGCACACCGCCTCCAGGAAGCCCTCTTTGATTGCCCCGCTGTCATCTAATTACCCTTTAATTCAGTGCTGTAGGTGCCTAGCAGGGAGGTGTTTTTCCTGTGCCCTCGGGAAGATTTAGAGACTGTAGTCATCGCTACTGCCCAACCCACTGGGCACGCAGCAAAAGCTCCCAGAACAACCACCACAACAAAACGAGTACAATCCAGCCACTCGAGGGACCAGAATGTGGGACAGATGCCCACTCTGGTGCCCGGAATCTAACCACACAGAGCAAGACTCGAAAGTCATCTGGGGACAATGATGTTATTCAACGGCCCATCACTTTGCACAACGCCAGAGATTTGGGCCAGGAGCCCAACGACGGTTTGCCTGGAGCTAAACAGCAAAACAGCAGCGCAAGCGATTCCCCTCACTTCACCAGACCCTCCTGGATGCAGGGAGCCTCGCGGCCGCCCATCCCGCCTCAACCTGGCTGCTGTACTAGCACCGACCACTAGGGGGCAGCAGCCACGGGACCGCTCTGGGACCCGGCCCCGAGTTCCAGGTCTCCAGGTAGGGTCCGACTCGCGCTCTGGCCAGGCGCCCGAGGAACTCCATGGACCTATGAGAGAACCAGTCTCCACAGCACGTCCTCTGGCACGTGGGGGGTGGGAGGATTGTAAATGAATTGCTCCCACATGCGGGTTTGTCAGAGGCCCTGGCCAGGAAGCAATAAAGTCTCTGCAGTGTTTTAACCGGCCAAGTGCAGGCTGGATTTCTGGGGGGTGGGGGGGCTGGAGAGGGGGTGCTGCGGGCTGGGAGGGCACGCACCACAGAAGCTGGGCTCCCGCCACGCGATGCGCACGCCTTTGCGGGCGCAGGCGGCGGCGTAGTCGGCCACGGCGCTGCACAGGCAGTCCCGGCCGTCGGCGCACGCGCACACGTCGTAGCGGCAGTTGCGCAGGTAGGGGGCCGGGCCCACGGCGCGGTGGCAGGCGGCGAACTTGGCGGACGTCAGCACGGCGCAGGCCTCCTCGGCAAACCTGGCTGCGGGGAGAGAGGGAGGGCGGGGCCTGGCCGGGGCGCTCCGGGGCCCAGCTGCAGCCCTTGGCCTTGCCCCCTAGTTCTGGTGCGGAAAGGCCCTGACCAGAAGGCGCAGCTGGTGCTGCTGGACCACGGGCTGTACCAGTTCCTCGACCAGAAGTAAGGGGCGCAGGGGGGCCGGGGCTCCCCGGGGCCGCGGCCGCCGGCTCACTGCCGCCCCGCAGGGACCGCACGGCGCTGTGCCAGCTGTGGCGGGCCATCATCCTGAGGGACGACGCCGCCATGAAGACGCACGCGGCCACGCTGGGGGTGCGAGGTGAGGCCGGGCCGGGGGCGGCGCGCGCAGCCCACTCAGCCCCCCAGACTACTTCCTGTTCTCCGAGGTGCTGATGCAGCGGCCGGTGCGCCTGGGCCAGCTGTGGCGCTCGCACCTGCTGAGCCAGGAGGAGGCGGCCTACATGCAGGCCATGGCGCGCGAGCACTTCGAGGACATCATGGCCGTGCTCAAGGCGCTGCCGCGCTCCATGCTGCTGGTGCTGCGCAACATCAACACGGTGCGCGCCATCAACACCGGCCTGGGCACCCCCGTGGACCGCTACTTCCTCATGGCCAAGAGGTGGGCGGGCGCCGGGCGGGCGGGGCGGGGC